TCACTAAAAGTTTTGGGAATCTCGGGCATTTTGAGATCGTACATTGCAGATCACTGGTTTCGGTCATCCTGATTTCTGTTCCTCTTCTGTACTCTACCCTACCTCCAGCCTCGAGATCTCTGCTCCCCACTTGCAAAGAGAGCCAACAACTCCGGAGACCCTAGACCAGAGCTCATCCAAGGGAACAGCCAACTGCCTCTGAAAACGCCACAACAGTTGTCACTGCTTTTGAGGGTTTAGGTTTAATTCACCTCTACCATAAATATAAGGATTCAAAGACAGCATTCAAGAAGTGAGTTGGATATATTTTTCATTGACTGAGTCTAGCTGACAACCACATCGTCCAGGGTGCAGAAGATCTCCCTGGGATGGGGTGTGGGGAACAGAAGCTTCCTCTCCCAGAACTGTGAACAGCTGTTCCAGCCAGCAGCCCTTACCCGGTGTGTGCTGTAGAAGGGGTCCAGATCCTCCAAGGGCTCCCCGACCAGTTCTGCAGGGAGCTCACCATAGAACTTGGGCAGCTGATTGAAGGCTTTCAAGTCTAGCTGGGGCCGAGGCTTCTCCTCTTGGTCCTTCTGCTCACTGTGCTTACCTTTGGCTTTCTTTGCTGCCTGCTCGGCAGCAATTCTTTTTTCAATCTCCACCAGGGACTCTGGAGTGAATCGATGGAAGTTGGTAGTTTCCGGGGACGCAAAGCGGAATTCCATCTTCTCATTCTTCTTTAGGAAGAATTTATAATCTTATGAGAGTGGACATAAACACAGAGACATAACAGCCTGCCCACTGGCCTCTTCCTCTCATCCCTCCCACCTTGCTTATGAGAACAACTCTTCCATCCACCTCTCTAGTTCCTTCCTTAACACACACTGAGCTCTCCCCAGGACTCAACTGCCCCTGCACAGCTCTCAGGGGAGACCATTCATTCCATTCTGCTCCAGCTACTGCAGGGTCATGTCTACGCTTCTCATGAGCTTCTTCTAGTCATTGCTCCTTCAGCATTTTGTAATGCATCACCACCACGAGCACCACTAGATCTAGCCGCACCGCCCTCTCTCCTTGTCTCCATGACAGGTGAGTAACAGGCATGCTCCCACATTTATCAAAGACTTTGGTTCATGATCTACTTTATCTTTAGTCTCATTCTGCCTTCTGACCACCTTTTATTTATTGACATTTTCAATGTTTCTTCCCCTCCCTGTACTCCCTTTGGACCCTTAGGCTACTTTTTCTTTGTCCATGGCCAAATGCTTCTCTCTATATCCAGATCAGATCTTATGGTCACCATTTTAACCACTCCCTTGTCTTTATTCTAAATACCAAGCCTAGGTCAATCTAGATGAGTCTATTTCTGGTATCTCTGAATCTGGACTGCTGAGGGGTATTAGGGAACATCATGCTGCTTGGGAATCACATAGTTTCTCTAGGTAGCAGTTTCTTCTAGTCTGATATTTCAGATATTGTTCATCTTTTCTGATTATCCTTTTACTAAGACAGTGACCATGTTCTCTACTTCATGGAGAAAACAAAACACTTTGTTCCCTCAAGCCTCCTACTTACCTACATCTCCTTTCCTCCCTCCCTCCTGTCACAGCTCGGAAGATATTGCCCCTCATTCTGGCTAAAGCCAATCTTTTCCTTCTGCTTTGGACCTTATGCCCCTACTGCCTCATTTCTCTCTCCCTACTTGTCTATTGGCTCCCTCCTATCAGCATTTAGAGACTCTCAAATGTGCCTCCAGAGGCCTTCCTGTGGCTACATTCAAGGAGATCTTCTCAGTTCTTATTTTGATGGTCCTATTGGCCATTTTGACCACTTTCTTCTTCTTGAAACATGGCCTCTTTTCAACTGTTGCAACACTCTCTCTTGGTTTTCCTAACTTTCTGTCTGCTCCTTCTCAATCTCCTTTTTCTCACTTTCTCTCATGTATGATTGTGAATCATAAGAATCTATATCATGCTTTTTAAATTTTTGAATGACAATAGTAATAACATCAACAACAATGACAGCTAGAATTTACAGAGATTCTGCTATGTTCCAGATGTTAGATTAAGTATTTTCACGCATTATCACATTAACCATCATGGTATCAATCTACAAACTATTATCTCTAATATATAAACGAGAGACCAGAGTGGCAAAGTTAATTTACCAACATCACATTACTAATAAGTGGCAGGACAGATACTCAATCTCAGATATGTCTAAGACAATCTAAAAGCATCTCACCCATTCTCATAGCTTTAATTCTCATCTATGTGCAGATGACTCCTGAGTCTCTATCTCCAGCTCTCATCATGTTCTTGGGGCTCAGACCACCCCCCCCATTTGGCATCTCCACTTGAATGTCTAATAGGCACCTCAAACTCAAAATGTCCCAAACTGAACTCATTACCATCTCCAGTACTAGCTTCCCCTTTAAAACTCTCTCGCTCTGCGACTGTGCACAATTTGGGTATTATTATTATGTCCTTCTTTTTCATTTCCACATCCAATCAGACATTCGATGCCGCTGTTTCTACCTCATTAGTATCATCTCTCCATGCATCTTTAACCTCTTGATCATATCAATAGTCCAGCCACTGTCATCTCAGCCACTTTCTATGTGTCCGTTTGCTTCCCCTCTAGTACCTTCTAACCTATTCTCCGATTGTAACAAAATGATCTTTCTAAAACTTGAATCGTTATATTTAAAATCCTTCTTTATAATCATGCTAAGCAAAATAACCCAGACAGAAAACGTTGAAAATCACGATATCACTTATATGTGGGGTATGAACCTGAAAGCAGCAAAGGAACAGGACAAACAAACAGAGACTCATGAACATGGACTATAGACTAGAGGTTACCAGAAGGTAGGGGAGTGGGAGGAGGGGGGAGGTAGATGGGATAAAGGGGGTCAAATATGTGGTATCAGAAGGAAATCGAACTATGGGAGATGAACACACAGTATAAATATATATATGCCTTACTGTTAAAGTGTACAGAGGAAACTTATTGGATTTTGTTAACCAATGTTAACAAAAATTTTTTAAAAAATAAAAAATAAATAAAATCCTTCTTTAAAATTTTTCTAAAGTTTCCCACAGGATTCAAGCTAACCCCAACTGTGTGCTTACCACTCCAGCTCTGTGGTCGCCAGTCACACTATTTTTATTAGTTTCTCTCTCCTTGACTCTGACCTATTCATCTTAAAGTCTTCCTGTGTTCCATTTCCTTTGCCTGAAATTATTTCTCCACCTGGCTTAGCCTGACTAAACCCCTATCATTCTTCAACTCTTGGGTTTGAGATAACACTGTCATTTCTGATGCCACATGATGTCTGTATCAGTATTCTCCTTTCACACTCCCATAACTCACTGCCTTTTCTCTACAGGCCACTGATTTGTAATTGCTGTTTGCTTTTCTTTTTCTCTCACAAAATTTTAAGCTCAATGAGGGCCAGGAGCACATCTATCCTGTTCAGCATTGATTGTCCAGGCCACAGCACAGTGCCTGGTATTTAGTAGATGCTCAACAGATATTGGGTAAATGACGAGCACTAACTACAAAGTTTAGAAAATGAAAAACCAAAGTGCATTTTTTTTGGAGAAGTACATCAGAAATTACAAATTCGACCATAGGAATATAAGGAACCAAAGAGATTATTGAGTCTAGTGATGCCTTTATAAAGCTAGCACACCCAAAAGTCAAGCAGATAGTGGCAGAGGCAGCTCCTAAATTCAATACACTCATGACAGAGACCTTGCTTGCTGTTGCCCATTCCCTTATTGTGCTGTGATCCTGGAAGGGACTCTCACTCCTTTCCTTAATGCTCTGTGTGATTTTCTTCTGGAAATGTTCTCTGCCTTATTCTTATTTCTCTGCCTTCTGCCCATTTATGCCTGGTCTGTCTCTTAGGGAACTTTTTAAAGTTAACCTACGTTACAGGATTCAACATCTGCCTTCTACTCTCTTATATCCTAGAAGTTGTATGTGCTGTGTGCCCATATTCTGATTAGCATGATGTTTTTATGCAATGGTTACTCACTGTTGGCTTGATTGAATCCCATCAGTGTCTTTAATTCTTCCCTTTTAAGTCACAAGAGCTAAGTTAACTTTCTCTTTTTTTGTCTGAGGGAGAAGACAAAAAAAGAGAAAGTTAAAGTTTCTATATTGAAACCACATTTGAGTCCCAAGACTCTGTTATAGAGAGACACTGCAAGGACTTCCTCAGTGACACTCGGCTGCAATGGTAAGGACTGAGCACAGGACTATGCCGGAATGACAGGAGCCAGACCTGGAGCTTGAGGTGAAAGCAGGCTCGGCCAGGAAGATGACTTGATGCTACATGGCTTTAATAATTCTACTGGGCCACCATAAATCACTTTGGCCAAGAACATGGTTGTTCTTGGGGTCAGGTAGTGAGGTTATGCTCACAGGTAGGAATCTGAAGTGGTGTGATGTAGATATAAGAGCCTAGTCCTTCTCTCAAAACTTTTCAATCAGGAGAGAGCTCCAGACTTGGGGGTCCCTTGATCGAAGCGGTCTCTCTCTTTCCATCTATTGCCAGTGATTTTATATGGCACCCTGAGACAAACATTTGGGTGCAAGTAGTTTATCAGAGAGCTAATTTCAGGAAATCGGGTAAGAGTGAAAAAGTAAGATAGAAGAAAGCCAAGAGTATTTTTATGATTGAATTACTCTTGTGGTCAGCCAAGGCACAGAACTGGTTCACTGAATGGTAAGGATACTGAGATTTAATCTACTGGTCTGCAGTCTTAACTGGAAATCCTTATTTCTGGTTCCATCTGAATGCAGTGGAGAAGACGTGTCCCTTGTGAAGCAGCCATGTTGGACCTATATATCTCAGGATTAGTCTGGGCCTGGGATTCGCTTCTTGGATTGATGGCTGGGGAGGAGCTAATCTAAGAAACTTCTATTCTGCTTTATTCTTAAACTAAGCTTTGATTTTAAAATAGTCTACCTGAGTATTTGCAGGTATATTCCCTCCAGCCTGGCAGCTGTTTCTGCTAAGCAAAATTCCCTCCTTGTTGGACATTCAGCTCTCTCAAGATGAACCGACGGCTATTTTGTTCTCTTTGTCCTCTTAATGTCAGGCAGGAGAGGGCCTTTCTCTATTGTTCCTCTAAACACTCCAGGTCATCCAGAGCCTGTAAGACTCTCTGGGGAAAGCTCCTTTAATACTAAACCCAGTGAGGGTTAGAGGAAATTAGCTACAGGGCCAGTGTTTTCTTCTCCGTTGTGGGGGCCTTCTCTGGTTCCAGCTCCCAGGAGCCAGGCCCAGGCCTGCAGCTATTCCTCACGACAGCCTCCATCACTCACATTGTGTAATCAGTCATAAGGGTTTGGCCTCAGAGCCTTCAGAGAGGACTTGTCTAATCCTGCATTTCCTCTAGAATTTTAGTGTACTGTAAATAGGTGGTCTGCAGAAAAAAACGATGCTAGTAAAATTTCTCCCACTGAAATGTATTTGTCGAAAAGCACAGAAGACACTAATGTGTTTTATTTATTTATTTTTTACATAATGGAATTCTTTTAAGAAGTGACAATTATTCTTGGACATGGCGGGCAGGTAGAGAAGAAGGCTCAGCTCCTTGCATACACGGCTGTACTTGCCAGCTGAGAGTGGAGTGCTGTCTGCCTGATGCTCTCCAGCTTGCAGCATATTTGCAAATGTTTGTTCTAAATAAAATAAATTATTTAATTT